TTTTTTTTTTTTTTTTAAGCAAATGAAAACAGAGTTAAATGTTTGAAGGATGGAGCTGTGAGAGTGTCCATGAAATTATCTGTCATCTGTAAGACTTCATTCTCCTGGCAAGCAGTCAGGCCGTCAGGTTATTTGTCACAGCTTCCCATCTCTGGCCAGTGCAGGGAAAGAAATTCCTACCCATAGTTACACGCTTTTGCCATGCAATTCAACATACACCCTTCGACAACAGAGTTTGCTGTATGAAGAAAGAAGAAGCTTTTGTTACATGTGTTTGGGATGAGTAAATACATGTATAGGCTGAATCCTGTCATTTCTGGGCACTGGAGTTCTTCCCAGTAAGGGTGGCAAGATGTTCAATGAAAAGAAGAGGAACCTTGTTGTACGAGTAAGGTAAAGTAAACTAGAAAATGGATGTATTGAAGGCAGTATTTGCACCAGGCCAAATATTTTCCAAAACAAAATCAGGTATTCTGAAATACACATTTTGTGCAGGGATAATTACTGTTTGCATAAGAACGTGCAAGATTATGATTTTATAAATGATTGGATGTTTTCTTTGTAGGCTAATTACACACTTTCTTCTGCAGGTCGACGTTATGATGGTGGTGTGAAGCCAAAATTTAATGTAAATCAAGTAGCAGTTACACAGGTAATGTTTGAAGGAACTGGATCTGTGAAGTTTTTTCATAACACATTGAGATCTTTTAATTTGCTTTATTGAATTAAATAATATATTGTTTAAAAGAAATAGCCAACAAAACTGTCTAAATCATTGTGATGTGGTACTGATTCACAGCCTGCTGTACAGGATATCTTCTGCTTTTCTGAGAAGTCAGGTAGGACTTCAGTTGCCATCGCTGGTGCTGACTGACAGTGGGTTTAGGCACAGGGTCTTACTGAAAGAACCAAATCCTATCATCTGTATTCTGTACAATGCCATTTGACTGCTGCGGCCAGTATTTTGCTTATATCACTTGGTACTAAAAGAATAGCTGAGGCAAAACTGCTGATTGTTTAAATTTAGTGGGAGTTTTTCCTGAGTCCAGCCTGTAGGTCTTGTCAAAAACTGAGCATATAAGGCTTCCTTATCAAAAACCCTGCAAATGATGCAATCTAGTGTAAATAATCTGCTGATTAAATCTCTCTCATCTGTACTTCTGAGAAGACAGCCTTATCATTAATACAAATGGCAGTCATAGTCAACGTTTCTTGCTGGCTGTTGCATCACGTTTTCTGACAATGTTCTTACCTTGCTTTCAGCTTGTTGCTGTGAGTACTTACTAATTTTAATTGTAAAGCAGTCTTGTGCCATATGTAAGGTCAGGTATCAAAAGGGGTCTTTCAGGGTCTGAGCTGGGAGACGTGATTCTCTAATCTGAACAGAAAAAAAATAATCTCTCTTTAAGCCAAGACAAAGCTTTGAGGCTTAACTGCATCCCTTCTGGAGCCTCGTAAGATGCTGTTTATGACTGGGACTCAGAATACCTTTCTTGTTTGTACATGATTTGAACTTGCTTAATCATATGACATGCAAAACAGCCATGCAGACATTGTATATGTTATCATATTCAGATAGGACGTATGTGTAGATGGAGAAGAGTTGGTGTCTGGAAATTTTAGTTTGAAATATGGAAATGACAGTTAAATTTTGAAGTCCTTTCTGAGCCCTAACCCACTGTCTCAAATTATATTGCCTGACAGCCAAGTTGTCCTGCTTTTGCTATGAAATTTGCCTTAGAAGGGATAGCATTTTTCTAATGTCTACAGATAACATGGAAGCTGCAGTCCCCAGGTTTCAATCTTGCGAATGACTGATTTTGTAAAGGCAGGGATCCATACTTGAGCCATCCTATTCTGCAGTAGGCATTCTCCCAATTTTAAAGCCATCAGGAGCCAAACTGTCTGCAGGTAGATGTAGACTTGGACATTTCTTTCACCTGGACAGCTGCCCAGTTTGCTTTCAGCATGGTAGGCTGTGTCCTTGGCCCAAGCTGAGTCCTCTCTGGTGTGTTGAAGTAATTCTTACAGGTGTCCTAGAGAGTCTTCTGCTGGGGTGAGCACCTTGTGATTCTAGCTTTGCTTCAATTTTTTATATCGGGCAGCTCTATGGTGAGATGGGAGCATGCCAAGAATGTGGTTTGCCCCAGTGATACTACCCTAGTAGAATAAATATGACATATTGGCTCTCTGGCCAGTTGTGCTGGAGCTAGAGGTCTGTATGGTGCCATTCCCATGGTGGGAAGGGGTTAGCCAGAGATTTCTCTGCTTCCTCAGTTCAGTACTGCTGCGGCTGAGAACTGGCTCCACAGATGCTCTCCAAGTGCTGGCCTCATTTATTCTGGTAAGATGCAGAGTAACTCCTGAAATACACATCTTCTGATATTGATCTTTTATGTGGTCGATCAGGTTGTCAGCTACAACTTGAGCAGGAAGGAACAGTGGGGAAGAGCATCCTGGAGGCCGTTCACCCACAGCCACTACAGCCCTCTCAACGTCACGGTTAATGGCATTCCCTGCATTCTCTTCTGGGCCAAGAGGATCATGATTAAGTTTGAAAACCACACGCAGCTGGATTTGACGGAGAAGACATTTGGTGTCCATGCAACAGTGGATGTTGGAGATTCCAACTGCAGTGAAGACAATGCAATGTAAGGTGGCATTCTACTCTGCCAATGGAACTAGTGCCAGATTACAAGTCTAGTAAATAGAATCATAGAATCTCATTTAGGTTGGAAAAGACCTTTAAGGTCATCAAGTCCAACCGTTAACCTAGCACTGCCAAG